TTTCCTGTTTCACCAACTTTCTTGGTCTTCTAAATCTCCCGTCATACCAGTTAATTATAATTTCTTATGCTTTTCTTTAATTTTATCCCTTAAACTCTTTGTGACCCAATCTGTTTTTTACTTATAGCTACCCTTTTCTTTCTATAAGTAATATGTTTACCTTGAATATTTAAAAATTTTCCACATCTGATCAGTGTCTCCAAATAACTCAGCTGTCCAATTCACAACAGATAATTCTTGTTGCATCCCTTCAATATTTACTTTTTTGAAATTTGTAACCAAAATATCATTATTCCTGATCTCCATATGTAGCAAAACATCAAACCTAATGAAGCAATGATCACTTGCACCCAGATGTTCCCCAATTTCCACCCTTCGATCATTTCCATATTTGAAGTTAACAATAAGCCTAAAATGGCATTGTTTCTAGTTGGTTCCTTGACAAATTCGTGAACAAATTGTGACATCATGAATCAGATTCATTCTTTAACAAGTCCTTACTTCATCATCTTACATTATTAAACTACTTGTAACATCACGATTCAGATTCATTCCCTGAACAAGTCTTTACTGGCTAATCTTACATTATTAAACTACTTGTAACATTGATTCAGATTCATTTCCTGAACAAGTCTTTACTGGCTAATCTTACATTATTAAACTACTTATATCATCATGATTCAGATTCATTCTTTGAACAAGTCTTTACTAGCTAATCTTACATTATTAAACTACTTATATCATCATGATTCAGATTCATTTATTGAACAAGTCTTTACTGGCTAATCTTACATTATTAAACTACTTGTAACATTGATTCAGATTCATTCCCTGAACAAGTCTTTACTGGCTAATCTTACATTATTAAACTACTTATATCATCATGATTCAGATTCATTCTTTGAACAAGTTTTTAGTACCTAATCTTACATTATTAAACTAGCTGTAACATCTGATTCATATTCCTTCTTTGAACAAGTCTTTACTGGCTAATCTTACATTATTAAACTACTTGTAACATTGATTCAGATTCATTCTTTATGTTATTTCAAGTTTTTTAAACAATTTAGTTATCTGTGATGACTGAATAACAAAAACATCTTAATCACAGAAAATTCAATTTACACTGAAATTTCAATGGACAGTAGTTGAAGGAAGACTATAATCTAGTGGCTCGTAGAAAAATTGTTTGGACTGTGGTAACTAAACTTCATCAAGTCACTTTAGGAAAATAACCTGAAATTATGTATGACACAGTAAAGAAGCCCAATAAATTATGCACATTTGTAATGTAAAGACAATATAACTTTCTAGGTAAAACATTATGTTCCTCTAAATAGGTATTTTGTTACTTTCATATTAAGAACATTAGTCACAAAAAGTCATAATCCAATATATTCTTCAGATATGATAGTTACTAAAAGTATCGACTAGGGTGCAAGAAACTTGTCCAAGTTTTTAGTTCCACAGATCATAATAATCAAATCACCCTTTGTGGACTCCAAGCTTTCTTCAAGGTCTCAGTGTTGGCTAATCCTCTCATTATTGCTATGGAAAGTCCAATCATTTTCCTGATTTGATGCAACATAAAACTCTGGCCCTTTAGTTTAATTATGGCAAACTCAATACCTTCTCTAACAAATGGCATCCCACACTAGAAATATATATGAATGTTATAAATGAAATTAGTTTAACAGGTTGGATATAGCATATTATATATAAACTTTGTTTAGGAAGATGGATATAGTATATTATATATATGAACTTAGTTTAAGTTGAACATAGCATAATATAATATGAACTTAGTTTAACAAGTTGGATATAGCATATTATAGACAGTTAGTTTAACAGCAAGGCGGATGTAGTATATTATATATGAACTTAGTATAACTTAGTTCCAATGTAAAAACAAAAGAAATTAATGAACACACTTTCACAAACAAGTTAATGAAGGTTAAATCTACGAGTTGGTGACAAGTTCATATACATTTTAAACAGTGACCCAACTTAAATAAAACTACACATTCGAAAGATGCTAGTTATAAACATAATAAATTTGATTTAATGTATTATTTTTATTGAAACTAAGAGAAATATTGTTTATGAAATAAGTTCAAGTAATTGATCTCAGAGTCATGATTCTGTAATTAGTGTGATAATCACTCATAATTCCACTAACATTTAGTTAGGTTAATATTGATACTTGTACTTATAAGTATTTATAGTCTAAGCTCTTTAAAATACTTGGGATTTATATATATTTTTAATGCATGGAGATAAAGTATTATTATGTACAGTGAAAACTTATTTACAACATATTTTGAAGGTTTTTAAAACCTATTGTCTTTTTTCTATTTGTGATCATAAAAAAGCCCTAAACAATTGAATTAAGTATATTTAAGAAAATAAAAAAAAACTTCATACAAAACTAAAAAACTTTCAACACACTAGGTGAAAAAAACAACAAAACATTCTTGATCTTTGAATGGTAAAAGAATTACTAAAAATGAAACATCGAACAAACATTCAAACTTCTGGTTTGTCCATTAGAAGAAAATATTAACATGTATCAAATAGAAAGAAAACACTTATTGTTTAAAGCATAATTTTTGTCATACTGTATCCATGTCAGTGTTCTTTATTGTTTAATTTAGAACACTGATAATTCAATGTTTTTTTTTTTTTGTTGTGTATTTGGTTTCTTTCTTGTCCATGAATTCTGTTCATTAAAATCTTACCTCACATGATAAAATGTACCTTTTACTGGATTCATCTTCTGGTTTTCTGGAATAAATATGATACCCTTACTTACTGAGTGATTCTATTAATGTTATTTTACACATAGGATTTTT